ACACCACCCAACAACCCACACAAAAAAAAAAAAAAAAAAAAGAAAAAAAAAAAAAGGGCCCTTTTTTCAAAAAAAAAAAAAAAAAAAAAAAAAAAAAGTTTTATAATTGGAATCACGACTATATGATTTTCATAGACAACTGGATTATGCAAAGTTTATCAATATAATTATAGGCATATTATCTTTGCTTTGACACAGGATTATTTTTATTTCAGCCTATAGGTCAAATGATCAGATAACATCAACACTCAAATGCCCTACATATTTTTTGAGACCCAGTGAATTTTTTTCAGGGGCTTTTTAATGACTTAAAAATATGTCTTTGAAGATCAATACATGTCTTTGAAGATCTGATACATTCACAGAGAACTAACTACAATAAGCACTGAACTAGAAATTTTGATGCTGGATCTATCTTTTAATTCCTGTTAAGAATTTCCATGGATAAGGCTACCACAAATACTTTAACAAATATTCTCCTGAAGTGTTAAAAACGATTACTAGCAAAGTCATCATTTAGACGCATACAAAATGTAGGTAAACTGGATTGCTTATATTAATGCATTACAGTTAAAACATTTTTTCCCCCGGAGTTTAGCATATATATTCTGTGAGAGTTTAACTCTAAACAATTAAATGTAACATCAAGTTTACACTGTGCGCGAACCTCCCTCCCTCCCTTGCCACTAAAAAAACAAAAAACAAAAAACCTGGGAGTATGAGAATGTAGCCAGTGGAAGAGACTTGTGTTGTAAAGCTGATGGGTAAAGTTTTGTTTCTAAAGTGATAACTTTTGAAACAGAATCATCGCTTGTTTGTCGCCCCCCCTCCCCGCCCGCCCGTAAAATATTTACATGTATGAGTCAGTTCCCTCTCCTCAGCCCCAATCCATTCAGAAGGAAATCAAGCTATTACTTGAATAAATCAAAAAAGAAAAACAAAACAAAAACTGTTCTCATTAGTTTCCGAGTGGCTAAGAACCCATTACCACTCACGCTGCGTCCCTGTCCTCCGCAGCATCTTCCAAGCCGGCCACTTAAAGAATAATGGTTCAACTTTCGAACGCATGGAAGAAGAAGCCGATTATTTCTCGAAGGGTGCAAAAGTAGGGCCGAAGAGGTCGCCGAGGCAAGGGACCCAGCTCCGGACCACCTCCGCCCAATGAACGCCTCGGACTGCTCGCTACAGAGACCCTCCCAGGCTGCACTCTCCGGCCGGCGGCCTCGGGCCTCGGCGAGGCAGGAGTGTTTACACCTGTCACGAGGGAGGAGGGGGAGAACTAGGAAGCCGGAGCGGAGCCCCAAACTTCGCCGCCGCTCTCGGGAAGACGGCCCGGCGCGCAGCCGCGGGCAGGGGGACGTTGAGGGCAGGGCGAGCGCCCGGGACTGCACCGCCGCTCTCCCCCGCGAGCCCGGGGCGCCGAGCTCCGTGCCCTGCGCTCCTAGCGCTGCCCGCGGCGTGCCCGCAACCGCCGAGGAGCGCAGCCCACGCCCCAGCCCACAGGCCTGCGCCCGACCCGCGGCGGACAGGTGCCTCAGGCCCGCTCGCCTGCCTGCAGGGGCTCCGCGCGCATGGCGCGGCGGCGGCACTCACCTGGCTTGTCCCGGGCGGCCGCGATGGGCATGGCTCAGCGGCCCGGGGAGGAACTGACTCCCCGGGGAAGGACCGGCTCCTCGGACGCCCGGCTGTCGACAGCGGAAGGCAGGCTGCAGCCACCCCTGTCAGCGCCACGGCGCCGTAGACGCCCACCGAGAGTTTCAGCGCGGCCGCGGGACCCCCATCCCACTACCCTCCGCCCTCTTCCGCCGCCGCCGCCGCCTCCGCCTCCTCCTCCGCCGAGACCCCCGCCCACTCCACACACTCTCCCATCATGCAGCGGGGAACCGCTGCTGCCTCTACGTCACTTCCGGGCGCAGGTGGCTGTGTCTGGGCCGGACGCTGGTGGGTGCCAGGGGTGGGGGAGGACACTCCTGGGGAATTAGTGTCACAGAATACATACTCCTGCGCAGGCGCTGTCGCGTGGAGCGGCGGTCGCCATTTTGGGTGCGGGCAAACTGCCCTTTTCTGTACTTTCTCGAGGGTCATCCGAGTGAGCTACGGACATCCTTCTGCACTGCCGGGCCTGCTCCCGGCGACGGTACGTTACCGTTCCGCCGAGGACCGTGTTAAGTCCGGCTCTCCCAACAAAATGTTTGGAAATCCAGACCAGACCTCCACTAAAAATCCTACATTCATCAATTTTCCCTTTTCGCCCGGAAAAACGACTTTTTCATTTAACGCCTAAGTTCCTCCTTTTATGTAAGCCAACAAAAGAGGAAGCTGATAATTTAACAAACTACAAAGAAGTGATTGTCCGACTTTAGAGGAGTGCCAAACGAACAAATCGTCTTCGACAAAATAAATCCAGAATTTTGCTAATGGATGGAGGCGGACTTTTTCCATACATATTTCCAATCAGCTTGTGCAGTTAAATGATTTTCTATAATAGAGATCATAAGAGATTGTGTTTCCATCATCAGCCCTTAGCAGTTGATCCTTTGTGTCTTAAAACCTTTTTCCCGTCCTTTGTCGTTTATCAGGAATATATTTGAAGACTCGCCACTATAAAACTCAGACCACAAGGCTACAGGATTATTACTGTCTGAGACGGCGAACTCACGGTTCTACCCTACAAATCAAGAGCCCTGTGAGTCCTCATTCTGCCCACGTTGAATAATTTAAAATAATTCCAAAACCAGCAGAGCTCAGCAGCTACCCAGAGAAACAATGACGGAAAACACCCTTCAATACAGAAAGCCGTCTACCCCTTTGAATGGAGGAATTATACAAATCAGGAACGATAAGGACAGTAGCAGTACATTACCGTTTATCCCATCTCTGCAGTGTTCTAGACAAATTAACTTGGGTGACTAAGATAGACCCGCATTTGTCTCTTTACAGTTCAATTATTGCAAGATATACAGAGACTGCACTACTTTAAATTGGTGTACCAATTGCTTTGTGGCGATGTTGGTTTTTTTGTTATTGCTCAGTCACTCAAATGAGAAGAATCTATATGGTTTGTCAAATTTATTACTATTGTATTTCGCCCCCTGCTGGAGCAGCTCGTTTGCAAGTTTGGGAGGAAAAAAAAAAGTTAAATATGTCACTATAAATGTTTATTGACAGACAAGGGAGGGAACAAAAAAATTTGTCTATAGAACTGGAAATGAATTTAATTCAGACAAACACGTACTTATTTTCACCTAATAGCTCTATTAAACAGAAATATTGGAATAAGAACATTTGGTAAGATCCTGCAGTTGACTTTAAGAAAATATTTAATAATTAATTTTAAATTATTATTTTTAATTATTTAATGAATCAAAAATGTTTGGAATAATGAATTTAAACACTAAAACATTTCAAAAGAAACCATGCTTTGGAAAAAGTATCTTCCTGATTTCACAGGGTACATATAAAATGGTTGTGAGGTAAATGAAAAAATTAGTTCTGTTAAGAATTTAAAAAGACATGGAAATCGAGTAGCTATTTGATCAAGGGGGCTTGTGAGCACAATCAATGATTTGATACTCATATAATTCTGAAGACAGCACTCTAATGCCTGCAAAATTGTATTACAGATTTTGGAAAGTCTGCGAAATGTTTTTAAATTTTTTATTTATTTGTATTTTTATGCATATGAGTGTTTTGCTTGCGTGTATGTAAGTGCACCACTTTTGTGCAGTTTTTGTGGAGGTCAGAAGAGGATGCTGAATCCCTGGAATTGGAGTTATGGTGGGTTATTAGCCTACCATGTGGGTGCTGGGAACTGAATCCTGGTTCTCTGCTGTGGCCTTACTAAGTAAGCCACATTACAGTTACACCTGAAAAACGAAGCAGCCCGACTCTTAACATTAGTTTTAAGACAAAGGGTGGACCTGAACTCTGGCCCCTGTTCCTTCAGATGTCTTACACAGCTGTGCTCTGGAGACAGGCTTCACTCAGACTTTCATTGAAGCAGTCCTTCTAGCATCCCTAGGGTCCACCCTATTCAGATAATCTTGCCCTTTGATCTCTACTTAAAACCTCATATACAATATCAAATTGACTTCTCCATTTTTCTCCTTTCAAAGAAAAACACATGTAGCACTTTGACTTGCTAATTAAGTATGCCCACATTCATTCTCTGTCTTGGTTACAGGGTAACATGGGGTCCTGAGGGATTAAGAGCAGGTGCAAAGGTCATAAGATTAGCAAACAGCTTAGTCTTAGTTTTTTTAAATTATTGTCACTTTTGGTTGCAAGGTTAGGTGAAAGTCATTAGTCCAGATTTTGTCCATATTGTTAAAGTCATTACTTTGCAAGTGCAGTCAGTGCTCTTATCCCTTGAGCCATTTCTTTAGCCACTACCAAATGTTTTTAGGATAACAAATCTGCAGAAACATTCTTTAAAAAATTCATTGTATTTGGAACTAATGGCAGTATTATTTTTGCTTACCTTTAAAAAATTTTTTTATTTAATGTGTATGCATGTATTGCCTGCATGTAAATGCACCCATGTCATGCAATGCCCGCGGAGGTCAGAAGAGGCTGTCTGCTCCCCTGGGACTGGAGTTACGGATAGTTGTTAGCTGCCATGTGGGTGCTGGGATTTGAACCCGAGTCTTCTACTAGAACTACCAGTGTTCTTAACTACTGAGCCATCTCTCCAGCCCCTCTTTTTGCTTACCTTTTAAGCATATTACTTGAGATTTGACATCAAGAAAGAAAATGACCTGTTGTCATTTACTACATTTCTGTTTTTTTCTCCTATGTAGACTTTAAAATTAAAGTCACAATCATAAGTAGACATATTTATACCTATACACCTTTTCACCTTGTGTTAGGTCAGTGCTTCTTTCTGTTGTTTGGCATCTTAAGAAGGTACAATTGACAGGAAATGAACAGGCCAGCCCCAGCAATGTGATGCTCTGGGTTAGCAACACTTAGGCCTGTGCCTATGAACAGGCCCTGTGCTACGATTTTGTATAAATTACTTAGTCTGACCATAGTCATTCAAATTTCTTTGACCTCTTAACCTCATTCAGGGAAGAGGCTCTGTGAACCATATCTTAAGAGTCCTGCACCAGATATCTCCATGGTCCCTTCTAGTCCTAAAGAGTTACTTGAGATTTTATAACTCAGGAAATGTTTTCTGACTGAATATCAAGTACTTTTTAGTGGGTAAATAAGCTGTGATATACTCTAAAATAGATTACAATTCAACACAAGTAAACTAGAACAATAGGTAATAATGGTTAAAATACAAAAATAACAAAAGTGAGCAAAAGCATGATAATGAGAAAAATATGATTTTACAATGTGATTAGAGATAAATGAGAAAATATGGTTTTACAATGTGATTAGAGATAAGCCAACACATTATTATTAATGGAGATATATTTTTATAGTAAAGTATAAAAATAAAAATGAGAAAAACGTGGCATGAGTCAAAAGGAGGACTTTACTCATAACTGTATGGTACTTTATGTCTTAAGAAAAAACACCAAATTTCTGTAATCCCAGTACTCAGAGGCTGGGATTATCTCCCATGTTGCCATAGGAGTTCTGATAGTACAGATATATGCCACTGCACCTGGGTTTTAGTTGGGTTCTGGGAATCTGAACTCAAGTGCTTTACTGACTGAGCCATCTCCCCAGCCTCACTGTAACATTCACAGATGATAGTGCTTTTCTGCCTCCCATTTCCCCACCTTGGTTGCCCTCAATAGTCCCCTCTGCTTTCATGTCATATGTATATGCCTGTATATAAAATAGAGAGCTCAATCTAGGTGTGGCATATGTGTATGTACGTGTACAGGTGCACACATGGAGGCCAGAGAGGGACATTGGATAGCCTGCTCTATTGCTCTCCAGTTTATTCCTTTGAGACAGGGTCTCTCATTGAAACTGAAGCTAGGCTGGTGGCCAGCAAGCCTCAGTAATCCTCCTGTCTTCGCCTTCTCCACAGTGCTGGGTTTGCATATGCCTGGCTTTCACATAGGCTCTGAGGATTTGAACTGAGGTCCTCGTGATTGCACAGCAAGCTCTCTTACCTGCTAGGCCATTTCCCCAGCCAATATGTGTCTTTTGAGTCTGGCTTATTTCTCCTGACATGGTGATTCAGTTCCATCCATTTTTCTGCAAATTATACAATATATTCTCTATGGCTGAATAATTTGAGTATATTCCTCACCTCTTATTTATCTGTTTATTTGATTCCATATCTTGGCTATTGTGAATGTTACGGCAATAAACATGGATGTGCCAGTGTCTCTGATTTGGATTCCTTTGGATGTAAACCCAGGAGTGGAATAGCTGGGTCACATGGTAGTTCTGTTTCCAGCTTTTTGAGAAGCCTCTGCACTGATTTCCAAAGCTGCTGGACTAGTTTACATTCCCAACAGTAATATATAAGTGCTCCTCCCACGTTTGTTTTCTTGATGCTAGCTATTCTGACAAGAGTAAAATGGAAGATAATCTCAATGTAGATTTTTTGTTGTTTGCTTTTTGTGTTGTTTTTGAGACAGTCTTAGACTATAGCTCAGGCTGGCCTCAGACTCGTGGCAATTATGGTGGCTTGAGTGCTGGGACTGCAGGTGTGAGCTGCTATACCCAGTTCATATAGTTGTAATTTGTATTTGATGGCTAAGGATATTGAGCTTTTTTTCCCATACATTTATTGGCTATTTATTTTTTCTTTTGTGAACTGTTCGATCTATTTTTAGTCTTTTTACTTTAGTTTCTCTGATGAGTTCCATGTGTGTTTCTCTCTGATAGCATATCTTAATAGACTATGTGCATGTGT